ATCAATTGACCCCAAGTATCCATCTTTATGTAACTTAGAAATGCGTTTGTCGTTAATACGACCCAGTCTGCAATGCCAGAGGTATGTATGACTTAGATTATCACTTTTATGCATTTTACTTTCTATAATCATAATAGATGACTCAATAACAAGAATATAAATTCCATTTTGTAACACACCACAATCATAAAAGATCTCATCTTTATAAAACGAACAGCGATTATTCTTAATATTAATTGAAAAACATTCATGTCCAAACACGAAATAGAATAATGTTTTTAGTAATGGCGGGAACAAAATAGCAATTTTCTAATTCTAATATTAAGCCCGAAGACAGTGGTAAGAAGTATGTGCCTATAGCTAATGCAGCAACTCTTGCTCCTTTCCCCACGCGCAGGTCAATTTCTCTTTTCTGCAGTGGCCTACTTCTCTTTAGTCCCTGCATATTCATACAAATATGAGATCCACATTCAGTATCTAATACCCAAGAAGCTGATGAAGTAGATATATTAACCTCGATAACAAAAATACCTAAAGTAAAAGCTTTAGAAGATTTCTTTCCCTTCAAGCTAGCGAGGTCAGTCTTGCAGTTCCTCTTTCAATGACCTTTCACTCCACAGTGATAGGATGGGTCATCAGATTTGGTATTATCCTTGCCTGCTTTGACTGCTTTGTTATTGCCCTTAACTTTTTTGGATGTTTTCTAAAAACTTCTTTTGATTTTCCTCTTAGTGCCCTTGGAGGAATGAATAGTTAAGACATGGCCAGTGCTAGCCTTGACATTGGGCTCCACAGTTTTAAGCATATTAAGCAACTCAGGGAGTGTGCATTCGATCTTATTCATATTGAAGTTCATAATGAATTGTGAATAACTATCTGATAGAGATTGTAGAACCAAGTCAATACTTAGTTCATGATCTATGATAAAACCCAATTGACCTAATTTCTCAATGAAATCAATCATCTTCAACCCATGAGCACTGACTGAAGGAGGTCTCATACTTCTCCACACGAGATTGTTTATCATATAACTCATTGAGATGAAAAATCATAATGTAAGCATCCATACCCTCATGTTGCTTCTACAACTCAGGTGACATAGCTGCAAGCATCACACATGCTGCAGTGTTATCGTCATCACTGTGTTTGTTGTAAGCAGCCACCTCTTCTTCAATGGAATTTTCAGTAAATACCTCTGGAAAGGGCTGCTCAAGGACATATCATATTTTCTCATGCTTGAGAACGATTCTCAAATTGCGATGCCAATCGAGAAAATTTGGTCCGTTCAATTTGTTGACATCTAATATGCTTCTCAAATTCATATGATTACTCATGATTCAAAAACTGTAAATGACGAAAAATATAGAATCAATATGTATTATAATGCATTTGCACAAATTCACTATGGACTTTAATTAAACGTGCTCCCACTGCTTAAAATAAATTCATGACCCTCATATATAAATTATTGGAATCCACATTTGATTTCCAGTGGGCTGGAATCCCATTCGTTGTATCAAGATCTTGAGTGTACTCAACAAATCTTAATAAAACATTTAGGTAGATATTATTATCAATTCCATCTCCATACAACTCTCAAATCATTAAACTGACAACTCTTTTATCTTTACACATCTTATGTGTTAGCTTAACATGTCTCTAAAACTTATCTCCTTGAGTGTAATCAACAAAAGATAAATTTTAGTTAAGTCAAACACATCATTCAGAAATATCAAATATTTCATAGTGTTAAACATATCCTTAATAGACCAGCCTTGAGTATACTCAACAAGCTGATGTCAAATATCAAATATTTCATAGTGTTAAATATATATATATTTAATCATGCATCAACTATGCGAATAAATACATAAATAATAGTATGGATGATTATGGACTTGTTCTATCTAGTTTTTCCGAGCCAAAGGGAAGACTAGTTGGTCAATTCCTCAGGGGTACAACATTGGATCAACATCACTGCACCATCTCCATGGTTTCCTCATTTTCTTGCGCCTTCAATTAGTCAAGTTGCAACATGTATTCTATACTAGTTAGCAAGCAGGCCTAAAAGAAATCGGACTCGCAGACTCATAATAATAACAACAACGGACTCGCAGGTCCAATATAATAAAGAGTTCGTAGGCCCATAACAACAATAATAATAACGGACTCGTAGATCCAAAACAATTAAAAGCTCGCATGCCCATAAACAACAAGAAGTAAATCAATCATTAAATACATCCATATGGTCGAGTCCATAACCATCGATAAATAAATATTTATCACATAAATTTTTTCTATGTATAATATCTAATATTATATACAATGTCTCATAAATCTAGCAATTATAGTCATCAAAACTAATTTAAAATTTTGGATCGAAAAATTAAATAATTAATTAATCATATTAATTAATTAACTTAATTGACATGCCTATTTAATTAAAATCAAAATTTAACTCAATCCCGAATTAGAGTCCAACTCTAATTCCATAGCTATTGGGCGAAATAATTTAATCAAAATCAAATTTTAATTAATTATTAAATTAGAGTTCTACTCTAAATTTTAATTTGCATTGGAAAAGTAGTATTAATTGAAATCAAATTTTAATTAATATAATATTAGAGTCCAACTCTAATAAAATTGAATTAATATTTTAATTTAGGACAAAACTCTCAAATAAAATAAAAATTCAATTTAGGGTCAAAATTAAATATTTAAGTTAAAATCTAATTTTAACAAAAATATAAAAGTTGTCAAATTTTAAATATATCATTAATTTTGGGCCTAATAAGAAACATGGGTCAAATCCAATAAAATCATAATTTCAAAAACAATTTTGAATTCAAATTTAAAACCATTTTTAAAAAATTGCAATTTGACCCAATTCAAAATTAAAACACAAGTCCCTCAATTCGTAAATTGCATGACAGACCCCTCTATCAAGATTGCAAAAACATCCATATATCTTTAATTGCAGGCAGGGGCTTGCAATTACATTAATTGCAATAGAAGCCCCCGCCTCCACCTTCCCCAAAACTGAAAACGCTAAATTTTTTTCTTTTATTTTTTCTGTTGGCGCCGCCCACCCAAAAGATCGGCAGGGGATGCTGCCTGAAAGGCAGCAGTCCCCTGCCACCCACAGCAACGCTAAGCAGCGCGCTACTGTGCCTATGGCGGTGGCACATTAAACAATATAATTGCTAGATTCAGGAATAAACATGATTAAATCAACTTTTAATTTAATTAACATGTAAATCAATTCCAAACAAATACAAAGTTGACTCTGATACCACTGTTGGAAATTTACTTAAACATGTACAGCGGAAATAAAAACAATTTTAATTTCTACCAGTATTCATCTTTGTATTTAGATAGGAACTGTGATAAAAGTTATACATTTTCTTGAATTTACAAATTCCTTTGCATTATCTTTGTTTCAGCAACTTGGATCTACCTCTTACAACTGTCTAATTGTCCAGACTCCAATGAATTCTACACAGAGAACAGATTACAGCCATCAGGGTTTTGTCATCTTGTGCTTGCAAGAATTATGAAATCTATATGGATCTAAAACCCTAGCCATATATTTATATAAGCCCAAACGGGCTCGGGCTGGTCCGATTCAATATTTAGTTAATCAATTTAATTAAATTAGGTCCGTGAATTAATTAATCCAATTAATTAATTCGGGGCTATAAATAACCAATCCAATTAATTAATTTATCCAACGATTGTTAAATTAATTAATTGGCAAATTGCAATCTTCCAATTCTCTTTTGTGTGCCACCCATCAGGTTTCCGACCACGATACCTAACGACGTGAAATATTATTTTGATCTAATCAAAACTTAAAAATTAAAACACCTTTTTAATTTATCAAAAATTCACACTCGCCGTCCCAGATTGACATCTAGCAATGTATCAGGGCAACTTATAAGACGGGAAATGTTACGTGGTATGACAAAACCAAACCTGTTCGTTTACCATGAAACTATAATCCCTTCGTCAATATAATCCGATCAATTACGAGATATGGAAGTGTGTCAATCTCGATTATCGATTATATATTTCATTTTACTATTAAGTCAATATGAGTCAAAAACTCTTTTTCGGCTTATGTGTATATATTGGCCAATGATTTCATTATTGACTTAATTGAACGAAATGCAGATCACAATCTCTTACTATCTAAGAGTGACGAATTCTCTATTGATCATTCACAACCTTCATATGGTTCTTAACATACCCGAACAATACCGCATTAGTGGCCTTTGGTAGAGCAACATCCAACACCGTCAAAGCATGACTGCCCTCATACAAGGCCCTATGATGACCTCAAGTCAAATGACCAATTCCACTACCGAACGTTAGAGATTAACCACCGACACTTATATAGTTATCCATGTGGAATTTCTTAGGGGGTCTCCAATGTTTTGTTCTATAATAAAACATCCACGTGTTCATTTAAGTGTCATCATACTTTAACTTGTGAGATCAGTTACTTACTTCACAAGTAAGAAATGTCACACGTGATGGTCTATCTGTAATAGCGATATCCGTATCTCATTATTACTTGCGACCACGGATTATTCAAGATCCAATCATACGTAATTTGTATCTCACAATCACAACTCCTTATAATTAACAAATCACTTAAACTTGAATTTTTGGACTCTATTATTTAATATTATTTATCTGAAAATTAATTTAAATAAATAATAGATCTTGCCAAAATTAAATACATTAAAGATATTAAAAGTGTTTACAACCCAAATCGATTGGATGTAGGGCATAACACTTACACCTACTACCATTCTTTCTAAAAATTACTAATAATCAATCCAAACAAAGGGATAATTACAACTACTCACTTCCTCCTACAAGCCTTGAGAAATAGATTTGTATCCGATTACTTCAATATCAGTGAATTTAAAAAGAAGGTCATGCTGGGTTGGAATGATATCTATAGCAACGATCCTTGGAAGAACATGAAGGGATAAAGAAGGCATTACAATTGTTCTTTTGGATATCAATTTCAACTTATACACGAATACATACTTCACAAGCAATACTTTTATTAATTTGGCCCCGAAAACACACACATCTTCGATGACTCAATTATTCATTCATATTACAGTCTAAAATGGCCAAAGGTCAAGGATAAGCCTCGATTATAGATTGAACGGCTTGGATATGTTTAACGGTGTACCTATAGAAGCCAGCAGCAGTTAGAACATTCGCCCATTCTTTCCAAGTCCTCTCTTTTCCTTTGTCGGTATGAGCCATCATCACCATATCGAGTGCCAAACTTACATCTTTATACCTATTCTCTTCTTTTTCATTAATCACAGCCTCTGCAATGATCACTTTCCCCGTGTCTCGCGGAATTGCTTCTTTGCACTTCTTTAGAATGTTGATGCACTCGTCATCTCCCCAATCATGCAATACCCACTACAACATATTATCAGATGAATAATGTCAATAGTAAAAGTACACTCTTATTAAAGAGGGCTTACTTTTGCTTACTTTGCCTTATTACTCGAGAGGCACTTGTGTAAATTTAACATGTTTGAGCCCCATCTGAGGATGGGGATCTCATTTTTCTTCAAATTCATTTTCATCAACACATTATCTCAATAAAATAATTTTTCACGTAAATCTAAAATTTTTCCACTTTTTAACCACATGTTTTCCAAAAAATCATTATCAAAAAATCTAAACCTTGTTTGAGCCTCATTCTTGACAAAAAAATATATTTTGAATAATGTATTGATAGGAAATATGCGGTTAAAAATAAAGAAAAGTTTTTGATTGGCGTGTAATATTATTTTAATAAAAAATGTGTGGTTGAAATGAGGTCATATCACTGTTGAAAAATATATTTTGATAAAAATAATGGAACTCAAACAAGGGCCTATTCTCTCCAAAAAGTGGGGCTCAAACGCGGGCGAAGGAGCAGGGGAAAGGGCATACCATGAGAAAAGCAGCATCAGCCTTTGGAATTTTCTTAAACATGTCGCCGCCAATATGCTCGACACCATCCCAATTTTGAGCAGTAGATACCACATGAGGGAGATCAAAATTAATCCCACGAATCCAAGGACACTTGTTGACCAAAATTCCAAGACTCGTCCCATCTCCACCTCCAACATCCACCAAACTCCCAATTCCCTTGAACACATCTACATAATTCTCAATGATTGCTGACATTGCCACTCTTGCGTGGCAAGCCATTGCATCGTCAATCAGCTTGCTATGCGCAGGATTTTCCGCTGCATAGCGCCACACATCCTCGCCATGAGCAGCCGTAAATGCCGAAGCCCCATTTGCTAATGCACGAGCACTTAAGCCGTGCCATGGCGCAAGCATCACCGGGCTGCTCTCTAGCAGCACAAAAGCAGCCATACTGTTGTCTCCTTTTCTCATAAGAAGACGCGAAAGGGGTGATTGAACATAACCAGTTGATTCTTGGTCGATGCTAATTTCCTTGAAGATTTTGCGGCGGATCAAAAACCTCATAATGCGATAGAGAATCGATGGCGAGCAACTGAGGGTGGAAGACAACTCCGCGAGTGTCATGGGGCGGCCATCTTGGCTTTCGAGGACATCGGCTATTCCAAGCTCGATGGCACACTGGACAACTGCCATTTCAGTAAAGCCCAACACATACTTCCAGATATCCACCTGAGCTTGTGCTTCTTCATTTTCCATCTTTCTTTCAAGAAGCCAACATATTGAAGGAAGCTTTTAAGGTAAAGATTGGATAATTATTTTAAGAGAAATTCTACATGGAGATGCTTCTGGAATGCATATCCACAGCAACAGGATGGGGTCACTCTCTGATAGTATTTTTTTTGTTCAGCAACTCAACACGTTTATCAATATGCATCCTTTTTCGAGTGTCTATGTGCAAGTTCCGATTTTGCCTCCTAGCTTTAACAAATATTTAACTCACTGTCATGACAACAATCGAGTGAATTTCCGACCCCAGTCAAGATTGGAGTTTTCTGTACCATCACGATTCACGTGTTAGAAGATAACTTTCAATAGAATATTTTTTAGTAGTGCGGACCCAAATCTGCCTTGTCGCCTGTCAACTTGTGAATTCCACATAGCGGGTCCAGAGATAGGTACACGCTGTCCAAATCGAAATATGGTTCAAAAGAGAAAAATTTTCTGAGCATGTTTGATTTGAATTAAAATTTAATTTTTATATAAGTTAAAATCCAATAATCAATATTAATCACATCTTTCATGGGTACCACAACTTTTCAACCACATATTTCAAAAACTTCTATCACCCTTCATTAAAAAATTTTAATTTAATTCTTACCAAACACCCTCTCTATTTAAGAGAATTTCTTCCTATACTTATAAATTTCTTTAGAATAGATTGAAAGAATCCATTGAATCGTCCAATATTAGTATGTGGATTGTTTT